GAAAAGATGGTTTTGTTTTGTTTGTTTTTTCATCTCGTTGTGTTTCCATGAACATGTTTGTTGTGAAAATCTTTAAAAGTTTTAAGTGTATTTTACTTATTTTTTAAATTACATCTAATCAGAACCGCTGTGACGATCCTACTTTCTCTTTTTGAATTGTTTGCACCAAACCCTGACGTGCACGAAGGCCGACAATCACACGGCGAGGACCCGACCATCGCTGCCTGCAGCTTCAGTTACAGTTTGTAATAGATGTGAAATTGTAGAAGAAGGAAAACGGTGTTTGTGATTTTCAGACTCTTTGCTATTTGCTCTCTGAAATGTTTTTTTTGCATCAATCTTGGTGTTGAAATGGTTAAAAAACAATAAAAACTTCTTCAATCAGTCTCTATCTGGTGACCAGAGTTCATGTTAAACACAGTGAAGTGACTTTTAGTTGTTTTGCTGCCCTCTGCTGGAACTGAGATGTTTCACAGCTGTAGCCGATTAACAACTATTTTCATTAAGCTTAAAATTAATCAAGCTGAAAACGTTATTATGTCACTTTTACTGTCATGTGTTTTGTTAAATTACACATAATAAAAAAAATATTAATTTTCATGTTGGTTGTAAAAAATATGACAAATATTAATTTGTTCTTTGACAATGTTTAAGTGAAAGATTAAAGATTTAATGTCTTTAAATCCACTGAAAATATCTTTGACATTTGTTGTTGTTTTTTTTTTGTATTTTTATTTATTTATTAATTCTTATTTTTTACTGTGTTGTCCCCACAGTGTGACCAACAGTCGGTACCGACCTTCAGGACCTGGTTGGGTGTGTCGGCCTTGTGGCAGTACAGGAAGCCGTTGTAGACCACGTGACCCGAGCCCTGCCAGTCAACCGGCAGCTTCAGAACCTTCTCTGGAGTCGTCCTCTCTATGAAGCTCTGCAGAGAACCGAACTCCAGAACCGAGTTGTTGCGGATCCCACTGAGCAGGTAAACCTGGAGGACGCAGCAGCAGGTTGGAATCTTAGAAAGTCTTTGTTAGTCCAACACGGACGGATGATATCAGTTTATAAAGATGACTTCAACTCTTGATTTAATTCCAGCAATCAAAGCTTTCAACCTCCAGCTGAAGGTTTTCTGTATTTGGTCAAACTACACATTAAACAGAGAAAATCACAGTTCACACACTTACTCACACTCAGAATAACTTTCATCTCAAATTTTGGTCATTTTGCATCCAACTTTAGTTCTTTAGTGTCACATTTCTGTCATTTTGTGTCATATTTGAGATGTTTTCCATCTTTACGTGGTTTTTTAAAATCACTTTTGGTCATTTAACAACACATTTTGGTCATTTTGTGCAACATTTTGATTGTTTTGTATCATTTTATGTTCATTTTGCATCAAATTTCGGTCATTTATGTCAAATTTGATTGTTTCGTGTCAGATTTCAGTCACGTCGTGTTACAATTTAGTTGGTTTGCATCTTTTTGTGTTCATTCAGAATCACTTTAACTGCTGTTTAAACTATGAGACATCCCATAATATTGACACTAA